TTTTAAAACTGCTCTTTAAAAAGTTTGATCAAACACTGGTTTGGCAGCAAGCTACAGCGCTTGTAACCATTGCTGTGGTTTGTGTAATGGATACCTGGGGACCATTCTGCTGACTAGAACCTAGCATCATTTTTGTGAGCATCTTGAGTCAATGTTCCCTGATAAAGTCCTTACTTGTTTTTTACATCTGATATCTGAAAGGAAGATAAATATTTATTTTGTAGTGATGATCTGATAGTCTCAAATGAGGATCAGCTGAATACAAGTTAAACATTTGTTGTAATTATTCCAACTAGATGAGATATTATTTGTGCAAGGATAGTGTAGAAGGAGAACTTTGTCTCTAGTATTGCCCAGGCTTGTTTAGAAGGCCTTTTCAGTTTTATGTTGACATACTAATTCAGTTTGTTCTGTGATAGTTGTTCTTTTTTGTTCATAACGGGATTTTCTGATTTATTTTCTTGTCTCTTACAGTATTCTACCACCCTACGTGAAGCTGCATAAAATCATGGGCGCAAATGCTCTATTTTTCATGTTTCTCTCATCGTCTTGGCAGAAATGTCTGCTAAGAGCCAAATCTGGATTCCTTACTCCTCTCTGAAATTGTCAGGAACCAAATAAGCTGATGTGTTTTCAGACTAGAAACAGATTTTGTCAATAAAGCATTGGGGCAGTGCTGAGCAATGTCAGCAAAGTCCACTTACATATCTGTGGCAACGTAAAGGCTCTATAAATCTTTGCATTTCTGTGGTGATGCAAAGGGATGTTAATATTTTATTCATATCTTTAAGTTCCTTTTTATAGCACCAAATGACTGGTCTAAATGAGAATGAGATCCATTGCCTTAGAATGTGGCTCTGTTCTGCAAAAGGACTGTTAAAATTACCTCTGAGAGATACATTCATAATGCGTGCCAGTAATTTTTATATGAAATATGTTCAATCTGCAAGTCAAAATTTTTCTCACGTACATCTGGAATCTTAGAATCAAACTGGATTCTCTTTCTCCCCTGCATCATCTGCATGAATAGAAATGGAGCACACCAGTTGATGCATTTACTCTGACAGTTTCCCTACTGCTTTTGATGAGTTTGAGTAGTTAGAATAAATCCGAACACTTCTGCAGAAATGAATAGGTTCCAGATTTCCCTCAGTTATGTTGGCTTTGTTTGGGATAAGGAAAACTGAAGTGTATCTTGTATTTGTTATTGGAGTCAACTGTTAGATTATGAGTGCATAAAGAAAAGTGAGCTATAGAATATGATGCTATAATTTTCTTCAGTGTAATTCTTCATGGATGTTGTTACTAAAGCACTGAGTAAATTCATTTGGTGCTCCCAACTAATAGAGTCTTTATGAAGCTTTTTAAAGATGTTACGGCTGATGAATACATAAAATATACTTTAATTACTTACTAGTTGTTATGCGGGCATGTAGTTTCTAAATCAGTAAGTTAGCAAAGTGGCAGTTTCTATGTTCAGTAGTTGAGATCTGAACAAAAACGCTGTCTGAAATCTGTCAAATACACAGTCCTAGTCATGTCAGTGAATGTCATGGGTCTCGGGATGAAGAAAATCACTTATGGATTTTTTTCTAGAAATAAGACCCAGCCCCCACCCCTATCTACCAGTGTGAAAATAGACAACTTGGGATCCTCAGCATCAAAGAAGAATCTCCTTGACAAGTAGAGAGGAACTGCAAAAGATCACACGTTGCCCTGGAAACTTTTGCATTTTAATTCTAGATAGAAATATGAAAAATATGGCAAAAGAAACTAGAAAGTCACAGAACTGCTGTCCAGGAAGACCTTCAAGGGATAGATAAATATTAGTATTTTAGGTATCTGCAGCAGCAGTAAGTTTTACTTCATCTTTAATAATGTCTAAGAGCATCTGTATTTAACAGAAGCTTCCTCTCATTAAAGTTTATGGAAAATCTCTGTAATTGCAGTAGAACGAACAGGCTAGTGTTTGATGCAAAACTACATCATGTAGTGCACTTCATTTTGAACTGCAGTTCCAATCACAGAACTACAGTTTGTGCAGTTTTGTATTTGTTTGAAGATGATGTGTGTAAGATATAATGACGTGATCATTTTGGCACTTAATTCCTCCCACTGAAATGCATGGGAGGAATTTTATTTCTAAACCAAAAAGATTTAAAAAATAATAAAGTGAAGTAAAACTTCCTGCATTTTACATTTCGAAATTCAGCTGTAGGAGTAGCAGATTAATTTTTAGTTTTAAAGGCTTCAGTTGAATACAGAGAGTTTGTGTGTGTGTGTGTGTGTGTGTGTGTGTGTGTATTTATTTTTTAAGTTATGGGAAAAGTTTAAGTTAAGGTGTTTTCTTCTGCACAAGATTGTGTTGAAAACTGTGGTATAGAATTAATGTTTGTTTGGACTCAGGTAGTAGATTCAGACTGGACAAGCTACATGTTGAAGACAAGCCTAAATGCTTATAAATGTGATTGGAATCTGGACACCTTAAACATAAGGATTATTCAGGCTACTTATTCTGTAGCCCCATCCAACTCTACAGGTACTTTGGGGCCTTAAAGGTGTTGTAGTGACTTAAAACTAGATTTCCTGGAGCTGAGTGAAAGCAGCTAGGCACCTGTTACTGCCATGGTTTCATCTGGTCACCATAGAGTACAGTACTTTCATTTTAAAATAAAGAAAGAGGCAAGTGGAGGTGTCAAAAAGAAGCAGGAGCAGTGAGTCACTATGAAAAGTGCATTGTCCAAATCTCTGATGACGTTCTGTGCTTAGTGGGAAAAGACATTCCTCACTTAAGACTGTTAAAAAGCTCCTCACAGGATCCTGTCTTTCTCCACTGCAGAGGAAAGCTGACCTCCTTAATACGGGAAATACTAGTCACTTTGTCAAAGCCAGCTGAGGTGGATGTTCAGAGTATGTGGCATAAATCTAGTCTTTGATTAAACTTAAACCTTCTAGAAAGTCCTTAAGAATTCATCCAGAAATTTTATTAATATGTATCTAGTTAAATAAGATTACTAGTATCTAATATCAGTTGTCATAATTACGATTTACTTATTTCAAGTAATCGTTTCTTGGATGAGGGACTTGTAGGGACATAGGACACCAATCAAACAAAATAGGAGTTAAGCTAAATGTAATCTTTGCTCAGGTCCTCTGTGCACTTGTGAACTTAATTCCTTTAATGATTCAAAGCAGACCTTAAACATGTGTTCCAGTTTTGTTTCAGTTGGTTTCACTTTTTAACAGCCATTTGCTATATGGGTTGCGGGTAGGTAGGCAAATTGTTTAAACAATCTAAAAAAACTGCACTGAAAATGGAAGATAAAAAGTAGCATTATTGTGGATGGTAACTTGCTTACCGTGAACTTACAACTTGGGCCAAAACTGGGCATGTCTTTGTGAAGCTCTTAGTAATATGGTTCTCATATTCCAGGGTGTGTATATAACATATTTATCAGAATAGTTGGAATAACTGTATTTTAGGGAACTGTGTCCACCTGTTCTTTTATTTTTACAGCAGCAAGAATTAAAACGCTGCAAAGCACACCAAAATAATGAATTTGTTGCCTCAGTCCATGACATCAGAGGTCTTTCCTTTCAGTGAGCTCTGCTACTACAGAGACAAAATCTTTCTTTGTGTGTCGTACCTCCAGATTCATCCCATGGTGTAAGGTAGACATTTCAGACATGAGTGAGAAAGAGGATCCAGAAATCTTCACCCTTAGGGGAAAAGATCAGGGTCTTCTATGTCCTCCTAATTGCAGTTTCCCTCAGATGCGGTGGTGTGTGCAAATGCTGGAGCATGTACCCTGTGTTTCACACGCAGACTAAAGAATAGAAGTAGACTACAGGTGACCTGCTTAAGTATCTAAGTATCTACTTGCAAGTGTAGGCCCATGGGACTCTGTGCCATATTGAATGGCATTTTTGCTGCCTATAAGGTTTCTGCTAGTGATGTAAAATGTGGAAAATAGCACGTGATGCTTCCTGACCACATGTTGCTTTAGCCTATTTGATCCTTCCTCAGATTGTGAGGCTTTACAAAAGCAAATGTAGGGATAACCATTTAGCGTTATGGGTTTTTCTGTTTTATTAGAAAATAGTTTCCCTCTCACGTAATACTTCTTGGGAAGAAGAAATAAAATGTTTTAAATTTGTGAGGTACTAAAATTGATAAGAAATGTGGGTAGATATATTATTTGCCTTATTCCTTCCCCTCTATGTTGAAAAGGGGGGGCCACTGTATGCAGGTGTATAGTAATTACTCTGGGAGCTTCTTTTAATAACAAAGGAGTTTTGGGAAACATAATTACAGCTCTTAAAATACCATCAGGGCTTAGGGAAAGCTCTTCACTGATTCCAGGTGAAGACTTGCCCTCAAATTGGTGGTAATGTGTGAATCTGTGTAATATATGGTGTCCATTAACACACCTCTGTGCCTAATTCATTGGATACATGTATACTGCCAATACTCGTGCCCTGTAATTTAAACTTACAGATTATGGGTTTAGTAATGGAAGAGCTTGATGGATACGTGCTTAAAGGTAATTATGCATTTACTGTGTTTTAGTTCTGATTATTGTTTTCTGTCAGCAGACTTGATGTGTCGAACTATTTTAGCATCATTTGTTCTTTTTCTCTATTCTGGCAAAACATTACTATAAATGAGTCACTGCTGGGTCCCATGAAATTCCAATGCATTTTTTTATTTTGCTGGCTTTTTATCCTCCTGTATTCATCTGTGTGTAAACTGAATGTGAAGTCATTAGAAGCATGGGCTCAGCAATACCTTGAATCACAGGAATGTGAAGAAGAATGAAAAAATCAGTTGGGCATGTTAATGGCAAAACAATATTATTGGTAATATTTCTCCATTTTTACACAGAAGTCTGAAATAATGCAACAAGCCATACACTAGAATAGCCTATTATGTTGATTTTATTAACTTTGTCTTATCTTAATTATAGTACCTTTATTTTTTTTTTTTTTTTTTTCTGCAGATTAAGGAATGGCTCTGTTTAAACTGCCAGATGCAAAGAGCATTAGGTGGTGACTTAGCACCGGGTCATGGTCCCGGGCCACAGCCTCTTCCACCCAAACAGAAGACACCCATTCCACCTTCAACTGCTAAGCCATCTCCCCAGCCACCACCAGTTCAAAAGAAAGATGCTTCTCCAAAACCTGATCCTTTGCAGCTAGCAGAATCGAAAAAAACCCTGCCCCAGAAAAAGCTACCATCCTTGCCTGGGTCTCCTCCTGTAAAATCCAAACAACCCCGTGCTGAGCCTACTGACATCTCCCAGAAAATAGATCTTACTCCAAAGTCTGATCAGGCCAAGCCAACACAGGCTGAAGATAAACATAAACAACCCAGTATACAGAAGCCTACAGCAGACACTGTGCCTACCTCTGCAGCACCAGGGCCGAAACAGGATTTGGCAGGTCCCAGACCTCCACCTACTCAACAGAAAGTGGCGGATTTCCCAAAGCCAGAGCTTGCCAAGCTGTCAGAGGACACTCATCCAGCTGGGGACAAACCGGATTCCAAACCCCTTCCACAGGTGTCTCTACAGAAGTCAGATCCCAAACTTGCATCTCAGCCTGGGGCTAGACCAGATGCTAAAACTCAAACGCCTGTTGAGTCAACACAAACAAAAGATGATCCTAAGAAATTACAAACAAAACCAGCCCCAAAGCCTGATGCCAAACCAGCTCCCAAGGGCCCACAAGCAGGGACAGGTCCCAAGCCAGCTCCAGCACAACTGGCGCCTCAACCCCAGCCACCTCAGAAAACTCCTGATCAATCAAGGCGTTTCAGCCTTAACCTGGGAGGCATCACTGATGCCCCTAAGCCTCAGCCTACAACACCACAAGAAACAGTTACTGGGAAACTCTTTGGATTTGGAGCTTCAATCTTCAGCCAGGCCTCAAATTTAATTTCCACAGCAGGTCAGCCGGGGGCTCAGGCATCAGCCCCCCCTGCGCCTGGTCCTGCAGCAAAGCAGCCCCAGCCTCCGTCACAGCCTCCAGCCTCTCAGGCAGCCCCCAAGGAGACTGATCAGGTTCAACCTCTTCCAAAAGCTGTTCCTGTAAAGAAAGAAACCAAGCCTCTTGTGACTGAAAAATCGGATCTGTCAAAAGCGGATAGTGTTTTAACAGCTAAAGGATCTGATTCAGAAAAGAAATCTGGTTTGGCTAAAGATAGCAAGCCTCAGGCTGCTGAAGCTAAGAAACCTGCTGGGCTATTGGAACTGGAGAAAGCCAGCCAGCCTAAAGAGTCTTGTCCCATTTGTAAAACCGGACTAAACATTGGTTCTAAGGATCCCCCCAACTTTAATACGTGTACAGAATGCAAGAAAGTTGTGTGCAATCTCTGTGGATTTAACCCAATGCCGCACATAGCTGAGGTAAGGTGATGGAGTCTGTATTTACACTATGTTCTTACCTGCACACTCCCTGTGCTGGTCTGAGGCTGATTTTTAGCTACTGAACTGTTGAGAAAAATTTAATGTTTCATTTTCTGAGAGCTTTTAAAATTAAATATCTGTGTTTCATAAAAGATGGTTAGTATTCAGAAAGTACTTCCAGTGAATTTTCTTCAGATTAAAGGAGTCTGGTATAGTTGGTTGCTAGGTTTTTGAAGCATAAGGAGATAGTTAATTACAGTTATGAACTCTTTTGAAATGAGTTCTACTATGATATAGCAAACTACTGTACTTTCAGTCCATCATGGGATAAAGTTCTTTTTCATATGCTTCAGTATTGTACATTAACACGTGTGCTTCTTTAATCAATGTCCCTGATTCAGACAATTATCTAATGAAGGAATGTGTTAATGATTCGTTATTCCTCTTCCCTCCTGTTTCATATATCCCTAAATTTATTCCATTAGTTTCATTCTGACTCTGGAGTCTTTGCACATGCTGATGTATTCATTAGGAAGGTTGATGTCTGAGTGATATATGTGTGGTGAAATATGCAATTTTTTGGTGTGAATAATGTAAGGTTCACAAAGGCACTTCATTAATTAAGGAGTGTGAGTATGAAAGTGACTTTTCCATGGCTGCCCAAGACAGATCTAGTAGGGCCAGCTTGTGTTTAAAAGAATTAAGCAACTTACTTTCAACAGTTTCCTCACATTCCATGTTTTTCCCCACCTTCCTTTCATTCTCATAATTTTTTGGCGAGGGGATTGGAAGTTTACACTAGCTTAACAGAAAGGTGGAGGCACACCTTACTTTCTGTATCAATTTGGCAAGCTCAACTCAACAGAAGCAGACCACCTAAAAATACTGGTGAGTAGGTTAGATGTGTAAGTTGGTGTGTGTAGCACATGAGGAAAGTGGCTGTCGCTGTTGTGTCTTTGAAATCTGAATGAATAAATTAGAAATGGCTCCCAGGGTTAAAGGTTATCATACCTCTGCCTTAAATTGAGAATTAATGTTGGGAGAAATAACAAGTTACAGGGAAAATGTTGGTTATTTTGTCTTCACATGCTTTTTTAATGGATCGTTTTTTGGAATATGCTATAATTTGAAAGGTGTTTGTCCTACTACTATAAGTACGTTTTTATCTAAGTATGTTGTTTACTGTCTTTGTGGTCATTTAGGTCAGAAAGAAAGGTCTGCAACACAGGAAGATTGGTCAGTGATTGAAAGCCAGGTTTCAATTGACTTCTAATGTTACTTATGTACTGAATTCCATCAGACACACACATATCTTCATCACTGTCCAACCATCTGTCCCATACACACATACACACACACTTATTTAGGTTTTAAATATGAAAAATGCATACGACTTTCTCCAGATGCACTCTATTATGCATACACTGAATACCAAGGAAACAAGATGTGTCTGTTCTCGTGAAACACTATGCTGAAATGATAACTACCCAAGTCCTGGTGCATGAATTGACTTCAGAGTTGGCTGTGTGATGGTGTGGGACTGCGTTGTGATGTGCAGATTTATACTTTCTGTATTTCTTCTGCTTAAGATGAGAAGGCTGGTATTCTCTTCTCCCGTTGAGTTATTGCCAGTGTATTCTCTCAGTTTCCACTCTTTGGAATATGTAGAGCTTGAAATACTAGTGGTTTTCTGTAGTCTGAATTCATCATGCCTTTATTTGTCATTTTTTGGTTCCTTCTTGCATTTTCTTCTTCCTTATACTACTCATTTCCATCTCTGTCCACGGTTTTCCATCTTATTATGTTTTTTCCAATCATTTTTTCTACAAATTGTCAAACCACTTTTCCTTGACAACAGGAGGTAGTTTGCTTGGCTGAGGACAGCCTGACTTCCCTTTTCATGAAGATTGGAGACAGAAGAGGGAGCTCATCCTCTCCTCTCCCAAATGAGCCGTGCTAATAAAGTATTTAACCTCAGATAGCAATTCTGTCCCTGTATGCACTGTATATAGTATATACCAGTTGCATGACAGAAACATGATGACGAGCAAATAGTTTATGCTCACCAGCATACTCTTTTCCTCCATCAAACTCTTCTAACATGCTGAGTACTGTCTTGGAGGTTTTATTTACTTGTCTCTATTCTTTGGGAGGTTAGGAAGGAGAAATGGAAATGCTTTTTAAAATTGGTCTTTCTTGTCATTTTCTACTGAATTCGTTTATTCCTATATTCTTAATTCAAAGAAAAATTTACAACTCCAGAAGGCTATATATAGTCCCTCTTGGCCCCAGAAAGTGTTTTGAATGGACAAACTTAATGGGTCTTTTATAGTTCTGTCTTGGGGCTGCAGCTATATCAGTGATTTTAGCAGTTTCTTATGTATTACCTATATGTTGTTGACTCAGTAATGGCTGAAAATGAGTTGAGTTTTATTGACTGATGGATAAAACCTTGCTGCCAACAAAGCTTGTATTGGTCTATAAGGTAAGAATCAGTCCCATGGAGCAGGGAAAACAGCGTTTCATTGACAAATACAGGGGAGCATCTAAACTCCATGGGCAGTTCTACCTTAATATTTTTCAGCAGGGAATGTCTTCCAAGCAAGGTGCTGCTGTACTGCAGACATGGCTGAGAGTACTATTTATTAAGGGAAGAAGGTGCTTTCTTACAGTGGTAGTTTTTTCTTCTTGCCTGTATGTGACAGAAATAGCTTTGAAAAAAGTCTTTAGGCTGCTGCAGTCAGTCCTCTAATAGCCCCTCTTCTGCAGGAAATAAGAGAATGAGACTTCTACCTGTTCTAAATCAACAATATGCTATTTATTTCAGTGAATTTATTCTGATTTATGCAAGCTGAGTATTAGAATACTTTTTCCTGAAATGGACTGATTGTTCTTTTTCTCCCTGATTTGTTGATCCAACAGTCAAACAGTTATTTACTTAAGTAGTAATTTATCCATGAAGCAAACAGCCACAAATGATTACATAAATGACACTTGATAGATTTCAAAGACTCACAGGACCATGTGCGCCCCAGTGCATTAGCAGACTCCTTATTCTGCCATTTGCTCAATATGGAGGAGCACTGTTTACCAGCTCTGTAATTAGCTTCCAGCTCAGGTAGTTGGAAGCAGCTCTATTTTTAGTAACAGAGCACGAGATCGCAACTGCGGAAGCCAGAAATGAAGTGTGTGGCAACGACCATTTTGTGCATTTAAAACTCAGTGAAGCTGTTCAGAATATTGAACAGGAGCAGAGATGGTTGCCTATAATGTAATTAGGTGTGTCGAGACAGCAGTGTCAGGAATATAGAACCTGTGATGAAGTAATATTCTAGTAAAATAAAAAAAAACCCTAAAACATTTGAAAACTAAGATATCCAAATCTGTAAAATCTGTATGGGCAACAAGAAGGAATAACATATTAATGTTACAAACAAAAAGAGCTGATAATGTAGTGTGTGTATATGTGAGTGGGCTAATGGATTTAATCTACTAGAACTGCCAAGGGAACAACAGTAGCACTTTTTAGTCTACTGATGGCTATAAAATTACCTGGAAAGGTACTTGGAAGTAAAAAATGTTCCATGTGTGAAATAAATTATTGGGGCTACAGAAAGGAGAGAATTGTTTTGAATGAAGGAAAAGGACAGAGAGGACTGGGGAAGGGCAGAAAAGACTTCATATGTCAGACTTGCTAAGGATTTCTTGTTTGAAAAATATGTTATCTGTTAGAGATGTGATCAGAATAGATAATATAATCAATTTTACATAGAGAGTGATGTTTCTTAATATGTTTATTACAGAAAATATTGACTGTATGAAATTGTTTGACATGGGTGGATATGATAGCAGGAATCTATAAACAATGACCTTGATGGTTCCTGTGCAATCCATATTTTTATACCATACCTCTTTTATAAAAATAGATGTATAACTCATCAAAATAATTTAGATGCTTTTCTGGTAACTTGTTTTCCCATTGTTACTTACTAGAGCAAATTAATAAATATTTTTTTTTATTTTTTCTTCTCCCCAAATACTGTGTAGGGAGGGAAAAGCAAAAAGATAAACTCATTTTCTAAGTAAGCACAGTGCTATCATTAAACTCAGTAGAATACCCAGGTTAAAAATGATACCATGCTCTTCCAATAAGAGCTTCTAGTTGAAATGTAAATGGTTAGCATATTGTAACAGATATAAGCCCTTCTGGAGATGCAGGGTGCTCCCTTAATGTGGTATGTTGTCATATTCCTGAACCCATCGTGGGTTCTTCTACCTTCTAAAATCTTGGAGGAAAGGTACAGACATGGGTGGGTTCCCGATGTAAATAATGCTGGCAGTTTCTATTTTTCCAAACTTTCACTGATATCTGACTGCAAATAGAGTGAGACGAGTGTGATCTGTTATTCAAGCTTTAATAGTAGGCTTTAAAAAAATAATTTAAGCACCCCCCCCCCCCCCCCCCCCCCATCCTAAGTGAAATGAACCCTGCTATTAAATGCCCAAATGTAGTTTAGACTCCTTAAAGCAAGTGTGCAGGAACATTATAAAGTAATGAGCCGTTTATGATTCTAATGAAAATCCCTAAAATGGTGTGCTGCATCATCACAGGTGACACACATTGCCTCTCTTTAATTTATTAACAAATCCATACTATCATGTTTTTCCTTTTTGAGAAAGCTCAGACCATTCTGCAAGTTGGCAGGTTTAGCTCTTATTAGAAGTTCCTCTGTTATGTTTGAGTTGTTTTGGAAACAGATGGTGTCTGGGAAACACAGTGAAGAAGAATTTGCACTTAAGAGACAAAGAGAAAAATAAGCACTCCTTTCAGTTGCATAGTTTTATTTTCTCTGCCTCTTTCCTCTCCCTTTATATTTAAAGCTCCTTTTAAAATTTTGATTGTAAGAAAGTGAATGCTATTATTGTTTAATAAGAGTAGCCAAATAATATAAGATATAATAGTCTAATACAATGTATTCACTGAAGTTTATGGAAATGTT